GTGAATAAAAATCTGGTTTCAGCAGCTCCCATCTCATATTCTCAAACTCGCTTGTTTGGGGCGAAGTAGCCGTAAATATTTTAGCAGTGGAAACACGACTGTCTTGTTGAGCCCAGTTTTCTATATTTAGCTCTACGTGTGTAGGCAGAAAAGGCAACCCTACCTGTTGAGTACTACCACAGTAACACACCAGTATGTGCACATTAACTAAACACGGACCGCTGTCGCTGCATGAGTGACCTTGAGATGTGGCGACTAAACAGGACGTTTTACACAGCTTGAAGCGGACCACAGGAAACTTTTGTATCCTTAAACTTTGGTTGTAAAACAGCCTACAAGGACAAGTCACAATGGTAGTAAGAGTGAAGCTTCAGAGAATCCTGTACAACAAGGTACTCTTTCCCTGACTCACAAACACTAGTTAAAAGTGACCGGTCAGAGGTAGCAGCTGCTTTTCTTGACTAACCCTACACTACCTGTACTGCTGCCTAACAAAAAGGTACGAAGACCAGGGAGTCGGATTACAATTAGGGGAAACAATCAGGCTTTCCTTTCAGCTCTGCGTGAGTCCTCACAGAGCCACTGCTCACTCACACAGCTGTTCGTCTTAAACTGAACACATACCACATGACCAATTGGCACTTAGTCGAAACAAAACTTATTATCTCTGTCTCTTGGTCTCTCTTTAGGCACACAGGGTGACGAGACACTACAAGAATGCCATCTATTCAGACACCAGTGATACAAAAATGCAGCTTGACAAGACCGATTAGAGACAGTTATCAAAAACTGGCAAATGAACTAGACGCACTCCTCCTTTTCTCTAAAACCAGACACTGTTTAGAACCATAGAGCAGAAATATTCAGACAATACAGTTAAACCAGGCAAAATTAAAGTATATAGTAGTATCAAATGTTTTGAAATATTTGTCCTAAAAACATAAAAGTTTGAAGTTTGATATGTATAGTGTTCAAAAGCTCAACAGGAGGACTGAATCTAGAGATGCACAGACAACTTTCATTCAGACCCACGTACTGTGCTTACATTTGGCCCCTACAATATACTTAATAATACCATTATAGTTCTAACAATGACATTGAAAACATGTTTTATTCTCACTTCCCCTCCTCTTGACAATTTAGCAGAGCATAGTGTGCAGCCTGCTCTACTTTGTTTATCTTAAAACATCTCCAAACTGCTGACATTGCTCCTCCCTCCCTCCGCTACACCCCTGCCCTCAACATGACACACCCGTATAGTCGACGTTAGCCATATAAAGCGTGGACTCAGGTGCCTGGGATAGTACTCGGAGTAGTTTACTGACATGCGCAATTAGACACACGGACGCACAGCTTAACGACCCCACCGCGCACCGCCTACACACGTAACCACCAATCCTCACTGGCATCTACTCGCATCAACACTTCCAACCCTCCGCCGACCTAGACCACAGCTGCCTGCTAATCCACGCAAACACCAAACTTAATCATATTTCCGTCACACCACACACACCACCCTCCCTCGAGATAATAAGCCTCCTCACATAAAAAAAATCAAAAAAAACTAGTAAAAGACAACACCACTAAAAAACCACAACACAAAACTAAAATAAAAAAACACACAAAAATAAAAATAAATGAAGACAAACCCCACACCCCACCCACCGCCCGCCCACCCCACTTCCCACTATCCCACCGCGCCCGCCATAACGCAGTCCTCTTTCGCTACTCACCTCACACACTTACATTCTCATGTCACACTCTCCCGCGCCGCCCCCAACCATACCACACAACACCAAAATCACACTCACTGCGCTAACTTCACCACTACACTACCCGCGCGCGCGCGCCCTCGCGAAATAAACCTTACCCTCGAATTACACTCCAGACGCATCTGCTAACACACACTCACCGCCAATCGAGCAAAAAGCCTGATTACCAGCTCCACCCACCTGAATTCACCCGTGACCGAGACAGGGCGCGCAGACAAAGAGCGCAAGCCTCTGCACATCCCAGCTCACTTTCTTCCTCGCAGCGCCACTGCACCACCCGCCACCTGCCCACCCTCTGTCCGTGCACGGACAAGACCATGGCCTACGACAACCGACAAGAGAACCCCCCCCCCCACGGGCGGCCTTCACCTTGCAACCGACACCTATGCCGCCACAAAGCAATGTTCATCCAGCGTCACAGTGCCACTCCTCACCACTTACAAAAATACCCCACCATCGTAGGGCTTCGATCAACATGGCATTCCATTCACGACTCAAAATAACGGACAAGTTAGCTATCATCTGATGCTGTAGGAACTGCCAGCAGCACCACTCTCACTCACATTCCCAGCTACACGCCATCTTCAATTCGGCTCACGTATCCCCTCGAGAACATATTCAGCAGCCACGGTCTTTAACTGCAGAGGACCGTATGCGAATCATACTAACCGCAAGAAGAAAATCTCTACGACACCTC